GAGTTATTGCAATAGCAATTGGAGAATTGTACATATTGCATAAATTGGTTGAATAACACAACATGAATCCCATCAATGAAATTAATGTAAATGCAATGAAGAATTTTTCATTTAAGTACTAAGAATTCATAAAATCATGCAATTCTTTGCTTGCATATGCTCCAATAAATAAAAATGGAATTTAATTACAAGAATTTTAAAAGAGTAATTCTAGAGGATCGATTTATTTTTCATAATTCAATTATTTCGATTTATGTAAAGCAAGAGCATTGAAAACGTTATTTAAAAGAATTAGTCCATAACCTAAATAGTTTACATCTAAATGTTCTTAACCTTTAAATATTACATATGTATAGTACCAGCTATTATTGCTCCAAGAGTTATAAAGATTACAGACATAAAATTAGAAATCTTCCAATTCTTTTACATCATGAACACAAATAAAATTAGAGTTCTTCTTAATGTCATGTACATTGAGATGTTCATTATTTATAATCCTTTCATTCCTGAAAAGGTTGACAAGCAATACATTAATGAATATAATAAAGTATCTTTCGATGTATGATTTCTTTTTCCCATTAACAAACAAATTATAGTTGTAAGAATATTCTCATACAATAATAACTCTAAATTAATAAAGTACTTTACCATGAATATCATTCTGAATTGAAACTTAATCCATAAGTATTTCAAACTTAGAGAAAAACAAAACGAACATCCTCCATATAATATACAATAAAACAAACCTAATATATGTTACATATTATAAATAATGAAGAATTTACAAGAAATGTTTTAAGATTCAGAGGACAACTATATTAACCAATACTGCACACCTGTAAGGATTTTAGGGTAAGGGGCATTCTCAGTAGTGGTTGCAGCTTAGAATTAGTTGTCAAATAAATCAGTAGCGATAAAAATAATTGAGAAATAGAATTTTGATGTTTAGCAATTAGAAGTCTTGAGAAAAGAAGCTCAACTACTTAGTTAATTACAACATCATAATATTGTTCGTGCTACATTTGTATTTTAAAACATGAATAATAGAATAAAGAAACAAAGAACAAACTATATATAATGATGGATCTCATACAAGGGATTACATTAGAAGAATATTAGAGATAAGAATTGGATAACGAGAGAGTGGTTTGCATAACAAAATAAATACTTGAAGCTTTGAAATATTTGCATTCTAAAGATATAATTCATAGGGATATAAAGCCTTGTAAAAATGATTTAAACAATAGAAAATATAATGATTGATCCATAGAGTTTACATGTAACATTGATAGATTTTGGATTGTCAGCATAATTGGCTTATATGGATGGTTCAGGAGTGATGAGTGATAATTGTGGAACCTTTTTGTATATGGCACCAGAATAAATATAGAGAAAAAAATACAATAGAGTAATGAATATAAAAATGAATTTAGAGTGTAGATATTTGGGCAATGGGTATTGTAGTGTATAATCTATTAAATAAAGGTAAACATCCATTTTATTAATAAATGGATGATAAATAGATTTATTTTGAAAAGATTAGTTAAGTGAAATGGAATTAATTTAATCAATTAGATTAAAAGATTTTGAATTTTTTTTATAAGACTTTAGCTTATCATCCAGAGAACCGATTAAATGTAAATTAATGTTTAGAACATCCATGGATAACTGGTAGAGATGATTAACCATTAACTTTTATTGAGATTTTGAAGACTCATACAATTCATAATAAGATTAAACATTTAATTCAACTATTACAAATTATTTAATATATGAAGAAGGTAAGTAGAATAATAAGTCCTCCAATTAGAAATAGTTAAAAATGTCCAACAACACCTGTAGAAAAGATGAGATCTAGGTTGTATAGTAGACCATAATTTAGTGTTAAGAATTTTTCTACTTCTTGTGATAGAGGTCGTAAATTAAATTCAGAATCTAAATCAGTAGGTTCTAGTAAAATCTCTTTATTTAAAGTGACAGATATTAATATTAATAATAATGAATTAAAAAGAGAAAGAAAATCATCTGATTAACTCAAAAAATTAACTTAAACTTAAAATGTAGTTAAACAATAATATCATTTATTTCCAAAATTAAATAAATCTTTAGATAAAAAGTTAAAGTAAAGTCATACCCTTCCTGATAATTCTCTCGTTTAATAGAAATAATAATAAAATTAAATATTTTAGATAAATAAGCCAGAATTAAAAATAGGAGTTTTATAACAAGTATTAATATTATTATTCATTGAATAGGATTAAAGTTTAAATATGATATCAAAAACAACAAATCAAATTCCATAAAAAGAAGTATTGATAAGTTAAAGAATTAATTCTTCAAAGCCTCCACTTAAAAGAAAAAAAAATGGTGAGTGAACGAAGGAAATAATGTGATTTAAATTTTAAATGGACTCTATAATATTAATTATTAAGAATGTCTTATTTTAATGAACTCAAACTTTTGTTTAACTAAGAAACTTAATACACAATTGAACTGAGTAGATTTGAAATAAAAGGCATTTTAGGCAAAGGAGCTTTTGCTATAGTTTTCTCAGCTTTTGATAGAGTGTTGAAGAGTTAAGTAGCCATAAAGATGGTAGATAAAAAACTATTCAAAAATAAAGAACAAGAAGATACAATACGATAGGAAGCCTTAATGCTTCAAACACTTTAACATAATAACATAGTCAAAATCTAAGGAGTAAGAATTTTGATCATTAACATATCTTAAGTTTTTAGAGACTCCTTTGAAATTCTTTATTGTAATGAATTAGATAGATGGAGTCACTTTAGAAAGTCACATTTGTAAAATGAAATCAATTGAAGTGATTTCTATAACAAAATAGATTCTTAAGGCTTTGAGTTACTTACATCTAAGAAACATTGTTCATAGAGATATCAAACCTGAAAATATTTTGATTAGTTATTTAGATTGTGAATTGAAAGTGACGTTAATAGATTTTGGTTTATCTGCATCTCTAAATAGAATTTAAAATTCTATGAATGGTTTGATGTATCAAAATTGTGGAACATTGTTATATTAAGCCCCTGAGTTAATTAGAAAAACTAATTACACAAGAGTAATTAATTTTGATATGCAATTAGTCAGTAGATATTTGGGCACTTGGAATTGTTATATATCAGATGTTAAATAAAGGTTTACATCCATTTTATTAAAGTGGTGATACAAAAACTATTTTTGAGAATAAAATCAAATATTCATCAAATAACTATTAGTTTCATGATGATAGAGATATAAATAACTTTCTAAAAAGAACTATTGCTTATTTACCTGAACATAGACTAACAGCTGATTAATGTCTTGAACATCCATGGATTACAGGTAAGGGTGATATATCTATTCCAATTACATTGAATGAAATCATTTAATGTTAAGTAGAAAAAGAATAAAAAATTACTAAATATATGAAAATTATCATGTTTCTCAAATATCTGATTTTATCATCATCTTGTTATAGAACTCCCTATCTAATTGAACCTAATTAACTTATCTTAACTGGATCTAAAACAGAACATATATCAGATCTATCTACTGATATTATTAATTTTAAGATACGCCCATTAAATATCTAATCATAAACAAGGTTAGATAGAAATGAGAAAAATGATAGTATTAGTAATAGTAGTAGAAATATAAGTGATATGTTTTTAGATCCTATTTCTAATGTTAACACACCTAATAATAGAAAGATTTTTAGAAAAAGCAATTCTATGAATCCTTAACAAATCATAAACCAACTTAATTTAACTAATTAGAGATTACTTAGTTTTAAGAACAAAGATATTACTCCATTATTTAAAACTCAATTACACAAAAATACTTAGATACTTTAGCCAACTAGTTCAAGATTACATCATAATAATAGCTGGAACAAGATACAAGATTCCAATTTAAAGACTAGATTAAGAACTACCTAAGGAACTAATTTCTCAAGGAAACCTACATAATTATGAAATTATTTTTAAAATTAATGAGATAATTCACTTTCTAAAATATGCTTAAATCTAATATTAATTTATTTAATATTTAGATTATGATTTTCATTCACTTTAATCAAAGTTTCTTGAATATTTTTTAGTTAAATTATTCAAGAAGAATATATATCTTCAAAATACAATCTCTTATTATTAATATTTTTAAAAATTAGTGATTGAAAATCCAAGCAAATATCCTGATCTTTATTTCTATTGGACTAATATATTTAATATCAATATGATTAAAAATTAAATTTCAATTTTGGAAACATTATTAATGAATTAGGTATTTAATTATTTGAATATATATTTATTATTATATCATGTTACCATCTGTAACTTCAATTAAAGAGTTCTAAACGTAACCTTTGATAAGGAAAATCATGAAATCTTAATTTGAAACACCAAAAAAAAGTAGTATAAGTACTCATGAGATAATTCATAAATCTTGTAAATCTTCGTATCAATAATACAGAAAATAAAGAAATCAATAAGAAACAATTCAGGTTGAGAAATTATTTTTTAGGAATTAACCTAGTTCATCAAGAGAGACTCCTCCTTCATTTCTAATTACTCGACACTTTGAAAGGAGGCCAGAGATTTAAGAAACTACAATTTAAGAAACAAAATATTAGGAAACAATTAAATTTCATAAAGGAAGATTACAAGATGATAAAAATTAAAAAGATAATAATTTAATTAAGAGTTTCTCTCGTTTTCGTTTGTAGGAAAATGTTTGTTAAAGACAGATCATAACTTCTTAACATTCATAAAGAGTTTAAACAACAAATGATTAAGAGTTTCGGTACTTTGTAAAATAAAACGGGTAATTAAAATTATTTTGATAGTGCGTTAGAATGAAATAAATTGTTATAGTGAATTAGTTATATCTGAATACGAATACATTGTAGTATATATTTATGTATGTACCTGATCATTCTGTTAAAGATAAATAGGCATTTTAAGAATTTGTTCTTGTAATGAAAAATAGGTATCATTGTAAATAATGTAGTACTTCAGACTAAAGATAAATTCCAAGAAATTATATTTTTATTTGAAAGATGGAACTCCCATCTATTCTCATCTTGATATTCCAGTTGATTAGAGTCTAATTATATATTCTACATCTACAGTTTATAAGGAAATACTTAATCCTTAATTATTGTAACTTGAGAAATGTTGTAAAAAATAACATTGTGAATCAAAGATAAGAAGAACAGAACCTGATTATACTGATCAAGTAGATGGAATTATAAACACTCTTTTATATTAAAATTATCAATCAATTCATGATGAATATAAAGTAGACAAAATGCCTGATGAAATTGAAATTACTTAAGAATTTTTAACATCGAAAGAATTAAAACATTCTTATTCAGAAATCAAAAGAAATTCTAATTTCACACCTATAATAAATTAAATGTCTCGAGAAAGCAAAACTATAAAATAAAAAAATTAGTATTTAGAATATATGTCTACTGATTATATTGTTAAAAATCCTAAAGTAGAGAAATTAGAAAAGTTAGAGAATTGGTATGATTAAGAATTAAAGAAAATTAAATTCAAATAAGATGATGAATATTAAAATGAAGATTTGATGGCTGTTCATATTGATAAAATTTCAAATTAAAAATTTATTGAAAAGTATAATCTTTATTTATTAATTACAATAGTTAAATTTAATAGGCTGCAAAATTACTTGATCCTTTATTAAAGAAATTTCTACATAAAAAGAATGGAATTTACTTAGATGAAGCTCCTGAAGTAAATTTTAATAATGATTATAAAGAGAGAGTTAGAAATAAAACGAATTATATTGAAAAAAATACATAAGAACTTATAACTAAGAAGGGAAGTTTACATAAATTATTGAATATAAATAAAGAATTATTTATTTAAGGTATTCCAAGAATATTGAAAGATACAAATTTTTCAAGATATGAATTACATAATACTTATATATTATATTGTGCTTTACAATAGATTACATCATAAAGATATCAACATTATAATGTAGATGATGGAGTTGATTATGATACTTATAGATCAGGAATATATTAAATTTTTATGTAGAGTGAATTTTTAGCATAAGAAATATTTAATAAAATTGATTTCAATTATAGTGGTTTCTTGAATTGGAATGAATTTTTGAAATTAATGGTGAGTATAAGGGCAAAAACATTAATAGAAAAATTAGATCTATTTATATAAATATCTGATTAAGATGGAAATGGATAATTATGTTGGGAAGAAATATTCTAATTATCTAAGGTTTGTCTTTCTAAATACATTTAAAATACAGATGATTTTTTAGATATGCTATGTGAATATTATACAAGATTAATATTTAAGGTTGTTGGTAAAGATCCACATGAGGAAATACCTTTCTCTGCTATTAAATAAGCTATTTTAGACTAAAAAGAAGATTCAGATTTATTATGTATGTTTTGTGGTGCTGATATTTGATCATAATCTCTTTTATATCATTTAATTATTTTATCTTAATCATTTTAATCTCTTTTTTCAAGAATCAATAATTCAAAATCAGATTCTTAAAATATAATATCATATGATTTCTTTATTTTATCTTTCTAATTTAATTCACCTTTAAAATCATTTAATTTATGTGGCTATTGTGTCATCTAAGAGAATTCCTATTCGATTTTTTATTCAATCATACTGTCTATTGATGCAGGTATCTTTTTATAATTAATTTTAAATACAATTTAATTTTATTTAAGAAGATTATCCTAATTTATATTCATATCTAACTTTATTATACTTGATTATTGATCTTCTTTACAAGATTCAATATATTAAGTTTTAAGTGGAAAACCCTATAAATGTGATTGATTCATAAATTATTATGGAAAAATAGTTTATAAAATAATTTAAATTCTTGACAATTCATAAATTTGATTACAAATTGATAATTTAATTTAACTAATCCGTCTTAATTTCTCATACTATATTTTAAATGCATTTAAATCTAATAACTTACCCTCTCTTTCAACCTAAACAATCTAACCAATAATATTTTTTTTTATTTTAATCTATGTAAAATCAGGAAAATACATAGATATAACTTAATTAACTGCTTCTTATTGCAATTGACTTTCATTTAACATTATAACCAAATATGATAGAATAAGTAATGTAGATGCTATAGATCCTGCTTCTGCTAAAATTTCACTTAACTTTGGATATATGATGATTTACTTCTATTATATATTATCTATTTTGTAATACAAAGAAACATATAAACTATAACCTAAAATCTATCCAAAATAATTTAAATCTAAAATTGCATTGCTTCCTCTATAATCAACAATAAAATTATGTTGTTAGATTTATTCAAACAAAGCCCCTGTATCAATCTTTGCTTATTACATTCTAATAAATGTTTAAATTTAAAATGTGTAATTTTATTAGATAGAAATTAATTATTCTCTTCCTATAGTTTCTAAACTCTCCTCATTTGTGTTAAACTCTTTAACAAATTAACGAAGAAGTAGAGAATTTGTTGGTTATGAAAAATATCCATCTATAATAGATTGATTTGCACATTGTTATCCATCTGATAAAAAACGTTTTTAACACTTTCCTAATGCAATCATCAATTCAATCTCTGGTTGTACTTCTGATTTTTCTTCACTTATTGAAAGAGATAAATTTGATATATTTAAAACTATGAATCCATCTTTTCTTTATACTGGAAAATTAACTGGCTAAGGCTAATCTATAATTACACCATTCTTAAACATATAAATAACAGGTTATAAAACTATAGCATTAGGATCAAATGGATCAATTATTGTTTATGAAAGTTTTCTTGTTTCAAATTACACATAAGTTTCATTGATTGAATATTCATAATTTTTAATGCTTCTTTAAGTATTTGTAATTTTTGGTAGAGTCTATCCTTAACTCCATTAAGCAAGCATATAAATCAAATATCCCAAACTTAAACCATATAAAACAATAGACATGATTCCTCCGATTACAGTTTTGTGTTAACTTTTCTAAAATTTAATGCTAGGTTGAAAGGTAACCCCAAATTAATCAAGATTTTCTAATAGTTTCAACATTTTTGTTTTAAATTAAAGAGCAAAATATTTAATAATTTATTTAGTAACATTAGACTATTAATAAAATATTGATAAATCATGAATCAGCTTAGATCTTAGTATCATTCTAATTAGATAATATGCTACTTTCAGGTTCATTCTCTGGATAAATCAATAAATCAAAATCTGAATCCTTAAATTACTATATTTAAATGAAATTATTATTTTCTTGTACTTTTTATTAATTTTGAATTAATTTAGATTCAGTTTAAGAAACAGTTTAAGCTTCAATAGTTTTAATTGTTGGGGGACTCCGATTATTAGGAATCTAAATAAAAATTTATAATAAATACAATGGTGTTTAATTTATATTGATATTCTTAATTCAAACTCTAATCCAATTTATTGATATTTTACTATTCTTCCTTAGCAGAATCAGCATATTAAAATTAAAATGGAATTCCATGTGAATGAATTTATTGAATTACTTTTGGAGGCAAAAGATTTTAAAGTAGAAATTATAACCTTGAGATTTCATAAATTTAATTAGAAATAGTTAGTTTCATTTCACTAACATGAGATAATTTTTAATATTGATTTTTAAAGGCTTGTAAATCTAATTACTTTCCATTTTATTCAACCTTTTTAATATCACCAAAAATATTTTTAGTAATTTTAATATTTTTGAATTCAGGATAATACATTTAGATAACATTATTAATTGCTTCAAATTCCAATTAGCTTTTATTCAATATGATTACTAAATAAGAAAATAAGAGAAGACTGGATGCAATGGATCCTGCTTCAGCAAGAATTTCACTAATTTTAGTATAAACAACTGAAACTTCAATTTAAATATTATCTATCTTATATAAGAATGCCATATAAACATTATATCCAAACAATCCACTATAAAAATCTAAATCCAAAGTTGCACTAACAACACGATAATCATTAATATACATATAATCATTAATGGATTCAAATAAAAATCCTACATCAACAGAAGTCTAAGTGATTTATACATAAGTTTATGTTTGAAATACCCTAGTAAATTGAAATGGAATGATTTATTCTCTACCAATAGTTTCTAGACGTTCAGTTTAAGTATTGTATTCTTATGCATAATGTTTGACGATAAGAGTGTTAGTTGATTATATTTGAAATTGTTAAATAACGGTTTCATTTGCACAATTCTATCCTTGCTATAAATAAGCTTTAAGACAAGTTCCAAAGGTGAGCATAACTTCATATTCTGGATTAGTTTCATCTCTAGTTTCACTAATGGATAAAGATAGATTAGAGAATTTAATGAGATGAAATGTATCTTCTTTAGTAAATATTTAATAGAATGGAGCTAGGGGTTTTTCTAAGGGAATACCATTCTTAAAAATGTATAAAAGAGGTTAGAGAATAAGAGCCTCTGGATTAAATGGATCAATCTTAGAATAACCGAATTTCCTAAGTTCAACTTCTGCAAATGTTTCATTTAGTATATATTACTAATTGTTTTCAACCTTTGAGGATGTAGTGATTTTTGGTAAGATTTAACCTGTTCTCCATTAAACTATTATGTAAAGTAAATATGCAAAGCTTAATCCATAAAGTAAAATAGACATGACTCCTCCCCAACAAGTTTTATATTGAGAAGTTGAATATTTTATACTAGGTTGGAATGCCACTCCAAATTGATCTATGTTTTTGAGTAATTATATCATAAAGTATTATAATTATCATATTATTTTATTGATTTCAAAGAACTAAGGCATCTATAAACTATCAATTCTATCTCTATTACAAATTAACAATTCAAAATCTTAATCAATCAATTCCTAGGCATTCTATTAGAGTTCCAATTTGAATTATTATTAATATAATTCAATTTTATGATTTTCTTTATGTAGTATTACATTCTTTTATTTATTTTAAACAATTCTTTCCTTTCCTGATTACAAATATGATTAAGTCATTTCAATTTTGCTATCATTCTAGGGAATCTATAATATTTCACCATCTATATACCACTCTAGAATCTTTAGAAATCTCGCCCTCTTAATTATCCATTTCATTATCTTCTTTTATTTTCTCAATTAAATTAATCTCTTTTATCCCAATCTAATGACAAAAACTTAAATTTGATCTATTTATCATTGATTATAATATAAACTAAATCCTTGAGATTTCATAAATTTGATTTGTTATCGTTAATTTCACTTTAGCTATTTCTTTCAGTTTACCATATTCAAGATTAAACTTATCAATATTCAAATTCCTACCCAAAAACTCTATTCTGATAACCTTACCATACCAATTCTTTCTATATTTTAAATATTTAAGATTTGGATAAAACATATTAATTACTTAGAATATAGCTTCACTCTCCAAAAAATATTAATTACTCATTATTACTAATGCTGAAGTCAAAAGCAAAATTGAAACTATTGATCCTGTATCAGCTAATACTTCATTTATTTTAGGATATTAAATATATTAAATTGATTTAATACCATTCAATTAATAATTATTGATAAAGTAAGTAGTTGCATTTATTACACTAGAAAAAAACTTACTATTCACTTACTAACCAACAGTTGAAATATCTAAAATAAAATCTCTTTAATAAATATTCTCAAATAGTAATCCATTATCTATAATAGTTTCTTACAATTTCAATGTACTTGTTGAAAAATAAACAGAACTTGGGTCTAAAGCCACTATTACTTCAGATCCAAATTTATTAATCTTTTCTTATTGTGCATTAAATTATTTCACATAAGTTGTGAATAACATTGTATTTACTGATTAATTGAAAAAGTTACTCCTTGTTGTCGTATTCGCACATTTTAATTATGTATTATTCACTAATAATTATGGAACACAATCTATCAATATAATCATATATTCTAATTCTGGCTATTCAACTGTTTTATCATTGCTTATTGCTAATGAAATGTTTTCAAAATATATTTTTACAAATTCCTCTTCATTTTTGATGCTTATTTCAGGAATTTTTGGAGTAGCATTTAATTATCCATTTACATATTAAAATATTAATGGAAGCATTATTATATTCTCTGGATTAAATGGATCTATTCTAGTTAAATTCATCTTTCTCATTTATATTGAAAATAAAGGTTCTTCAAAGTAGATTTATTAATTTTCTATTACATCACTTGACACTGTGATTTTTGGTAGTATTCCACCCTATTTCCAAATAACAAATTAGTAAATGAAATATCCCAAACTTACTCCATAAAGAAATATAGATAATATTCCACCTAAAACAGTTTTATATTCACTATCTTTTGTTATACTAGGTTTAAATACAACTCCAAATTAATCAAGATCTCTAATAATTTTTTTTATCATTTCATTTAACTTTCTCATTTTATTAATTTTAATTAGTTTATAAATAATATGCAAAATTCTCTTTACTTTAAAAACTCCATTATTCCATTTAACTATTCAAATAACATAATTTATTTTTATATTTATGATATTAAAATAAAAATTCCTCTTTAATACTATTCTATTAATCTCAAATTAATAGCAGTAATATTTTTTAAATTTATAATAATACCTAGTTTTATTATTAATAAATTGTAAGATATTTTAGATAATTGGAAGCATAAAGAAAGAACTATACTAAAATTTATATTAGAACTATCAAAATCAATTAATTTAAGAATAACGGAAGCCCTTATCAGAAAAATATTAGATCTTAGATATTGATAATGACAATGAAATTAATATCCTATATTAAAAGGCTGGTTTTTAGAGCAAATCAAAACTTAATTGCTTCGTTAAAATAAATTAGATCATCCATTTACTATTTCGACATCAATTTATAATCTTTTATTAGTTAAAAAATTAGTTTTTATTTATAATACATTTGAAAATAATGATTGTATAAAAAAGAAATATAATTATTTATAAATTTAAATTTTGTTTGTCATATGATTTTATGTTCTTTGGATAGAAGATTTATAATAAATATAATTAAATAATTACATATAAATCATTACCAAATTACAAATTTTCTGTCTAATCCTGTAGAAATCAAAGTTTTTATATCATTGGTGATACACACAGAAGTATGCTAAAAATAAAATGATAAATTACTTTTGTATCAGAAATTTCATAAACTGAGTGAAGACTCCAATCTCTTGAATTCCAAAACTTAATATTTCCATCATATGAAGAACTAATTAAAAACTTACTATAAATAGGCTAAAATTTAAGATCACTAACCAATTTGATATGTGCAGGTATTTTTTCAATCACATTTCTTCTTCTGATATCCCAAATTCTAATAAAATTATCATCCCCTCCAGTGGCAATATGATATCCATTAGTACTGAAATCACTAGCTAAAATTCCTTTAACATGTCCAACAAATGGTAAAATACCTTTACCTATTCTTAAATCCCATGCCATTCCAAATCCACCTAAATCTCCTGTAAATAATAATGAACCATCAGGATGTAATGCTCCAGAATATATTGCTCTAGAATGTCCAGTTTATACCATTAATTCAGTTTATGTTTCTATATCCCATAATCTCCATGTTTTATCAAAACCCATACTAATTAATCTTTTACCATCTGAATGAAATATTACTTTATTTATTCTATCTTCATGTCCTTTCAAAACAATAGATTTTTATAGCATTCCTAAATTTTCTACTTAAATTTAATCTAAATCAAGTGTCCATAATCTAATAGATAAATCAGCTGAAGCAGTAGCAACATTTGCAAATGATTATGGAGATAATGTTAACAGTGATTATGGATGAAATGCAATCGAATGACATTTAGTTAAATGTCCTAAAAAACTCGATTTCAATGTTGCTGTTTCTATATCCCACAATTTACATTCTCCAGACCCACCAGCAGTTGCTAAATATTTTTAATCAGGACTAATTGTTGATCTAGATATTCCTGATGAATCTCCAAATTAAGACATTTAAATTGAAAAATGATTTACTTTTTACATTTCTTCTAACACTTATTAATCTTCTTATAAAGCATCTACTGTTAATCTTCTTAATCTTTATTTTTCTACTCTAAGTGCTGCATTATGAAGTGATAATTTTGCTATTTCGATTCTAGCTGCTCTTAATTATTCTACTCCTTCATACAAAAAATATTCATTCTCTATATTACCCATATTATGATTATTCTATTATTTAAAAAATTATGGTAATCTACCATATTACATTAAATGTTCTGTTAATAATGTACGTAGACGCTATCTTCTATCAGCTGCATTTTCACCAAAATAAGTTACTGGTTAACCTAATTATCTTAATTATGATTTTATTTAGCTTTCTTAAGTTGGTACCATCAATTTACGTGCCTCTGCCATAAGTTTTTATTTCTTTTCATTTTCTTCTTATTATTTTTATTATCTGTCAACATTCTCTGTTGTGTATGAAATAAATGGCAAAGATTCCTATTATTAATTTATTATTGTAGGTGCTCGAGTACTTAATTAAGATATTTAACTCAAATTATCAGTAACTCTTTGTCTTTCTTATAATTATAAATTCATATTTAATTTATTATATTATTTTATTTCAAATATTTATTATTAAATTTTAGAAATATCGAGTACCTTCAATTCTATTATCAACACAAACCTTTCCTTAATTTATAGCATTTCTAAGTTTAATCTTACAAATCATAACAGAGATTCCTAATTTCTTAGCTAATTATTCTGCAGTAAGTCCAACTTCATAAGATATAAATTTTCCTAATGTATTTTCATAATCTTTATCAATATTATATTGTGCTTTAATTAATAATTATTTTAATATACTTGATTCAAAAACTGAAATACCATCATATCTCTCTATTTTTGCTTGATAATTCAGCTTTTGAAATTGTAATCCTGCTTTTAATATTTCTTCTGGACTTACTAAATTTTAATTTCTTTTTTTATTAAAATAATAATAGACATCTAATAATGATATTATACCACCCATCTTTGGAAATAATTCTACACACAATTTATAAACCTATTCAGCCAATTTTTCATAAAATTAATCTTCAGTCCTTTTATATTATATCATTCATTACTTATCTAATCTTGATTAACCAATTTTAGACAAGATTTCATCAATTTCATTATTTTCTCCTTTCTTGATATTTTATTTGATATATTAAGATATCTCCTTTAACTCTGAAGCATTTTTAAATAATTCTTCAAATCCACCTTTAAATGTGCTTTAAACTGTTTCAATAGTTTATTAGGTTTATTTTTCTTTTTTATCTAATTCACTTTTTAAACCTCGATAAACAGATTATGTTTATTGTTGTTCTTATACTTTTAACCATTCCTTTTTTTCCATACTTCCTTTGATTTATAAGAGTGGTCCTTCTAGATTATCACCATAAAGGGATACATCACCTAAATTAGTTTCAAAATTAATATGATCTATTTATGATGATAGAAATCCAGTCTCAAATAAAAAATATTTAATACTTTTGTTTGTACTGTTTTTATATGTTATAAGGGTACAACTAAATAGACAAATTAAGCATCATTTGTTTTTAATTATTCTATGTTTGGATTATTAGTGAAAATTAATCTATGAGTTGTAATAACCAAGTTAAGTTTAGGTACTTTCATTTTAAGTTTCTTATCAAGAAATTACATATTTTAGTAAATAAATAGAGTCTTTTCATTGAATTATGTCATAGCTGTCATTTCAGCTGAAAGAAAGAATAGTGATTATTGCATCAAATTATTATAAGGAAATTTTATAAATTTACATAGTTTATACATATGTCATCAAGTTGATTATTATGAATATCGACGAAGAAATCTAAAAGGTTTATGTTTTACTTAAAAATTCAGCTGAAACCCTTGAGGATGTACTTCATAAATCATTTGAAATTCCAGTTGATAATTGGTCAAAAGAGAAACCTGTGTTATTATTTCCTGATTCTGGGGATTCCTTATAAGATTTATTAGAATTGATGAGCAGAATAGACAAAAATTTAGATTAGGTTCGTGTGAATATAAGATAATTCGAATTAAATAAATTTTAAGTGATAAAAGAAGAAGAGTTTGATCCACGATATTCATAGCCATTGATTGATTATGAAATAGTATAAAATGCTGAATAGACATAAATGAATCGAATGAAATCAAATGTGAACAGATTACAACGCTAAATTGAAGCTTATTAATAAAAATATTAATAATGAATTAATAAGGTGTTCTTCTTCTACTTGATTCTCCTGAGAATTTATAATTTGGAATTGATAATTCTCAATGGATAATTGGAAAGAAATTCAAAGGAGTTTAAAATATCCCTTTTGGCACACATTATGTCCATTATTCATTGAAAGAAGAAGGCTATCAATTTAAGTAAGGATTCTTCTTCATTATATCCCCAGAAAATAGATATCTTGTTAAATAATGGAATAATGATTTACAAGAATTTCTTACCTTTAAAGATTGTGCACCATATATTCATACAATAGAAATGCATGATTTTGATATATATTTGGGAGTTTATCCAATGGATAAATATGATGTATGGAAATAATGTGTCAATTTAATTAATAAAAAGGTTCTAGATAAATTGGATCCTATTAAACATGTCTGTGTTGAAGAATATAATGAAAAAGACATTGGAAGTAACACACCTTTACATACAACCATCTATTATACTGATATACCAAAATTAAAGAATCCCAATAAATCTCAAGGATAATAATTGACAGCTTTAAACTTTGATAAATCAACAATAGTCGAAGAATTATTAAAATAAGAATATCAAAATGATTATACTATTCTTTTAGGAGAAATTTAATATGCTTTTGTTAAGTTTTTATTAGGAGAACATTTTGAATCATTTGAATAATGGAAATCACTCTTAATTTTAATAACATCTTGTGAAAGATTGATTGAAGAATAAACTAATTTATTTGTTGACTTCATACCCTTATTTTATCATTAATTACAATAAATGCCTAATGATTTCTTTGTTGATCCTATAAGCTCAAGTAATTTCATCTCATCCTGTATTAAGAATTTGATTGAATTATCTTAACATAATAATCCAAATACAATTAGATTAAAAGTAATATTATATTTATATATATTATTAGTTAATACAGAGGTGCAACAAATTGTAAGAGTTAATCCAAGTCAAATTTGTATAAAATGTTGTCTAAGTAGATGATGAAGATGAACCTGTTGTGGTAGAAGATTTCAATTTTATATAACTTTGATAAATATAAAGAATTGTAAATATATAAAAGATTATAAACTTTTCTTTATTCCATGTCATTTACTTCACTTTTAAATTATTTTACTATTTTATAATCTTATTGATTAAATAGTAGAAAGCTGATTTTTCATTTAAATCGATCTAATTTTTTTATGCCAACCCCATCTTCTCTTCTATTCTTAAGAATTTATCCATCCTTTTAAATTATCCCCAAACCTTCCCTTCCATAAATTTATCTAGCTTTTTTATTCTTTATAATCTATAAAATCTTTCAAAATGTCATCAACTCTTCCTCTGTTATAGAGACACTCTTATTAAAATCAACTTCTTTAAATAAAGTTTCTTTATTTAATTTTGCAAAATTCAATTGTCTCATATTTCTGAATAAAATTATTACCCAAAGCATTCAATTCCTTTTTCGTCTATTGTATCAATATCCTTTCTGTTTAATTGTTTAAAAATATCTTTTTTGAGAAATCTTAAACTTAAAGGCTCTTTTATTTTTACACATATGCAACCCATTTTAAATTATTTTATATGAATAATAAAGAACAAATCAATTTATATATCGAAGAAAGGCAAGATACTCTAATTTGGACTCAAGAAGAAGTCCAACTTGAAATATTAGATGAAGTTGTCACCTTTATATTAAATGACATTAAACACAAATACTAAACTGATGTACTAACTTTGCGTGATGAAGAAAACTAATATTATGAGTTTGATTAAATTATTTAGTTCAAACGTCCACATACTTACATTACCATACCCTAACGTCATGATGTTAAAACACTTGCATTAGTATTTTATTCAATTATCTACAGAATTAACTTAGACCAAATCGTAGTGTATATCACATTTCTAACGAAAAAGTTATTGTCGAAAAATATAAAGGAACAAGAAGGGTTGAAAGTGTTGATTATTCACTTGAGGTTATTAAGAAAATGAATCAAAAATACTTAGATACCTTAAAAGCTATTTTTGATGATTTAGTAATCCAACCAAAAAAAAGAAATTCTCTTACTCATGAAACTTAATAACTGTTTGAATAATAGAAAAATGAACCCGAGTCTCCAAAATTTGGGTAATCAGCTAAAGATAACACTTCATCCACTTAGATTTAAAAAAGAACTTTAAATGAAAGCGTTAAAAAATGTGAACTTAAATAGCTAACTATAGAAGATGTATGTAGCCATTTTTTATAATTTATAGGTATCAAAACATAACACAAGTGATTCAGCATGGATAGTTATAAATTCTAAAGTTTATGATGTTACTCACTATTTAAATAAACATCCAGGAGGAAGAGAATAATTAATGAAAGGAGTAGGTACTGATGGGACTCCTCTCTTTATGTCACATCATCCTTGGGTTAATGCTCATTATTTATTAGAACATTCTTAGGTAGGATTCTTAATCAATCACAAATGAACAATATGAAATTAATTTATTTATTTTATGCCTATCAGATTAAATTTTTTATTAATTAATAATTTATGAATATATATAAAATATCTATTTCTTTATATTTAATAGATGGAAAGCTAATATAAAAAATTAAACAACTTATGACCCAATTTTAAATACAACCATGAGTAATAATTGATCCTTACTGATATTTAAAATAAAATTAACTATTATTAAAATTTTTCAAGCATCTATTAATTCTTCCTTTATTTATTTATTCAAAAAAATGATAAAATTTAAATTCAAAAAAATAATTAAAATATATATGAGAAATGAAAAAAATAGTTAAAAAAGTAACTCTGTTTATGTTAAAGATAATATGACTAATGTAATCAGCAAATATTGTATTAATATTAACCTTAATTGTATCAATAATAATTATGGGTAGATATTTAAAAAAATTAGCAGAGCTAATAAAATTTTATTAAATAATATAATCTTGAACATTTTAATATTCATTCTCCATTTTTCAAAACTAAATGTAGAGTTGATTCATTCTAAATATTATAGTCTGAAAGTGTTCTTTCGTCTTCTAATTACTATCCTGCAAATATAAGTGTTTATTAATTAGGAGGAATATCTTCCTAATTAGCTATTTTGCCCTTGAATGTTCCTACAGTATCTGAAGACTGAGCTTCAATTCTCAAACATTTTCCGGTCAGGTTTTTAACAAAAATATTCATTATGCCATCTTTTGTTTCGGGTACTGCTAATCTTAAAACTAAGTGGATTGATGATTCATGTTAAATTTCATATTCTAAAAGTGTTTTATCATCTTCTAATTGACGTCCAGAAAATATCAACCTTTATTAAACAGTAGGAATTCCTTCTTTATCCGAAATTTAACTTTTTACACTATATATTGTATCTGTAGATTCGACATCAAGAATAATGATTTTTCCAGTCAAGGTCTTTAAGAAAATTTACATTCCACCTCTCAATCTTAAAACCAAGTGTAGGGTTGATTCCTTTTAAATATTATAATCTGAAAGTGTTCTTCCGTCTTCTAATTACTTTCCTGCAAAAATAAGTCTTTACTAATCAGGTGGGATTCCTTCCTTGTCTTAAATTTTAGCTTTAACAGCATCAATTGTGTCAGATGGTTCAACGTCAAGAGTTATAGTCTTCCCAGTCAAGGTCTTAACAAAAATTTACATAGCTTTTGAAAATATAAAATATTTAAAAATAATATAGAAGATACATTTTACAAAATATTTATTAAAAATAATGTAACTAATTCAAATTCATATTATAATATATATAATTGAAAAAAACATGTTATATTTTTTTTAGATATAACTCATTATTTAATATTGTGTTTTTGAAAAAAAGGTTGAAAGAGGTCAAATATTATTTTATATTAAATCCAACATTTTCATGAAATAACATAAATTGTCTTTGGAATTTCTAATATTATTTACACTGTTTTTAAACATATAATTCATCGATATATTTTATACAATGAGGAGATTTTATAACATTTTTTCTATTTATTATCCTAAATTTAAATAAATGAAGATTTCCACAAAAGGGTATAAATTTTTATGAAGACAATAAAATCACAATACAGAGTTTCATATTGAATATTGGATTCAATATTTATTAAGTCCATGATGACAGTTTGAGTTTTAAAGGTGAGAGAATGAATAAATTCTCAAAATATTAAACTTTATGTCAACTTCAAAACTAATTAAAGAGTGGATTCCTGTTTAATTTTTAAATCTAATTGTTTTTTTTTTCTTTTAAATCTTATCTAATTAATTATAAAAATTTCTAGTTACAAAAGCAAACAAGATTATCAATACTGAAACTTTTAATGAATAGTGTTTCCTATTCTTATTTTAAGATAAAAATATATTCTTAATAAATATATTACTAAATATTAATTATTTATTTTTGCATTTAATTTAATATATAATTTTATAACTTTTATGATTTTGTGATTTTCATTTAAAGTATATTAAATAATTAACATTTAGGACAAGAATGTAAAAATTGAACTGATGATAAATAAATTCTGTTAGCGAACAATATTATTTTATAAAATTTAACAATTTAAATGTATTGTATCAAACTATAAATGATGGTGGTTTTGCTTTATAACTGATAAGATTTTAATTATGAATCAAGATTATTTCATTTTGATCATATGTATTTAGAAGCAACAATAGAGAAGAAAAAATTTACTATAGTTAAATCAGCAATAAATAAACAATAATAATATCATTATTAATAAATAGAAATTCTAAGGTTCTAAAATTATAAAATAATAATACTAACTATTGAATCTGATTTGCTTATTACTTAATTAGGTTTTCTCCTGATTGAATAGCTTATTGCTTTTGCCTTTTTTCTTCAATAATTTATTACATGAATTAGGATATCTTGTTTTAATTTGAATTTTTGGTATTTTGATGATGTAAAATTTCTTCTATTATTTTTTCAATGTTTCGCATCTTATCCTTTCCATCAAGCAAAACAACTTCATTATTAAAAGAATTTTGTTAAATTTCTTTGAAAATTTATAGGCATTCATTTAGAATAGAATGAATGTCCTAAGTTTCAGAGTGGGTTTGAAGAGAGAACTAACTCTTTTGATGAGGTTAGTAAGGTGAGGTTAATTTAGTAGATGTAGAATTTTTACTGCCAGAGGAAGCACATTTGTTCTTTATTTAGATGAAAGTTTGAGATTTAGTCAACTTAGGTGTGAAAGAACAAGATGCGTTTATCTAAATCTCTTAAGATGATCCAATAGACGGCCTTATTTTTCTAATTGTGTTCATATCAAATTTAATTATGAT